TGAGGGCCTTCAACTCCGACCGGACGGTTCGTTGGAAGGATGTAAATTGGATTATAATCACAATCTAACAGATAGAGAGCGGGGCTCTGTCCCCGGTACTTGCAGAGGCCCTATGCATTTTTAACACAGTAACCTCTCATCGCGGTTGTCGAGATTCGAACTCGGGACCTAATCCTTGTTGCACTCCCTTGCTACCAGTTGAGCTACGCCCCCGGTTGTATGTATATACTAACATTTATTTATGGGTTTAGTTTTTATCTCTTCGATTCTTCCACAATGCCACCGAAAATTTTTTCTAGCCGCAGGATCACTTATAGGGGGCAACTCCTTTTTTTAATGGGGGGCAAATTTGTGAGTGTGATTTTTGTTATGGAATTTGAGCTAAAAATATGCCACTTATTGGGGGCAGCTTCCCCTTCACTACTATGTACATCCGCCCCTGGTTTAAGGGCCTCCCGGGATGTATGACTTGATCTTCAATTGAATCTTGATTCAGTCTTCATATGAATATCTTTAAATCTTCAAAGATTCGTTCTTCATCTCTTCAAATCTTCAAAGCATTGTTTTTCAGATCTTCGAATCTTTGAGCTTCGTTCTTCAGATCTTCGAACGTTCTTCAACTTTTGGATTTATTTCATCAAGAATCGAAGAAATCACGAAGGATTATTCGTATATTCTTAATAAAATTCGTGCCTTGATCTCTTTCTCTTCTTCAAATTCGTTCAGAGTCTCTCAGGACTTCTTCGGAGCTTTCTGCAGCGTTTCTTCGACCGGAAGTTCTCTCCTCAATTCCTCTTAACGGAGACCCCTATTTATAAGTGTGTGGAGGGGATAAAATATGACCTAGGGTTGCAGAATTTCGTCCATAAGCCTAAGGCCTCAATGAAAATGGGCTTTGGGCTCCTTTGCTTGCATTTTAATAGCTAGAAAAATCAGAATTTGTTCGATGTATCTAGACAACTTTCTTAACAAGGTTCGAAGCTAATCACATGCACATGCCTCTTATTCATTGGGTTCAAAATGGGGAAATTAATAGGACAAGTCCATTCTTTTAATGAATTAATTTATAAATAAATTAATTGGATATTCAAATGATCCAAGTTAATTTAATCATTTCATTTTATCCGAAAGGGTCCATATTAATATTTTCCTTTTGATAAGGCGGATAGCATTCATGAGAAGCCCGGTATAATTCAGCGTTGATCCAGTAGCATTCAAATGAGGTCCAATAATACAGATAATAGTCCGATAGCATTTGAAGAGGCCCAATGACTTTCAGAACTAACCCAATAATTTTTAGATGTCCACAACAATATCTTACACGGGCACATAAAAATGTGTATTTCAATTACTATAACTCATTGTTAAAAGTGACTCTGTCAATGGGACAGGTTCGGGCCAGAACGTATGATAGTATTAATTCGAGACATGGGCTCGTTAATTTAGTTTGTGTTCCACAATCGAATCCATTACACGATAGGTATAAAGTAAATGATCCATACCCGGATCCAATAGGTCTCGAAAACGGGACGGGTAGACCCGTCAAATTTGAGTTACAATTTTGCATAATCTGATTTTTAGATACAATAAACCCTATATGTAAATACTAATTATTATCGTATAATAGTAATTTTACTTTTTTTTAATATTATAATAGTAATTTTACTTGGGGCAACCTGGAATTATTTATTTACTACCCCGAGTATCATTTATTTATATAAGTATCAAGTTAAAGTTCTTATCATATACTAGTACTATTATTAGGGATCTCTCATCTGGGGAAGAGCGCCATAGTCCCTCCCATAGGGTTTTTTGTTCTCCGCCGATTTTGTGCGGCTACTTTGCTTCTATTGATGAGGCATTGTTTCCATGGCTACGGACGAAAGTAAGACAGGGACAGGAGGGTTGCTGCAGCGGTTCAACAACGATGATCGAGAAACACATCGGGGAGGCTTGTTTGATGATCGATTCAACTCATCAGGAAACCAAACGCCGGAGGACTGGTGCGATGGACTGGAGCTGAGGCGTTAGGGTTCGGAGCCATGTCTTGCCCGCATAAAAAATCATAGCGAAGGTCCAGCCTCCTCCTGAACCACCACCATGGGTTGTACGAGGTGCTAGAGTTCGTGAAAGTTTTCCTATTAGTTTTTACGGAGTATTATTTTATGATTTGGTTTCTTGCTACCGTATATGTTGGTAGGTTTGTCAATTTGTTTGAAATTTTAGCCCTTTTTTATGTCATTGGGTATGTTTGGATCTATAGGAACAGAGATGACTGTGTCAAACCTGCTGCATGGTTAATGATTTGTGTTGCTCTTTCAGGGGTGATCGTCTCTAAGTCTGATCATTGGGTTTACAGTCGTAGTTATTGATGTTTAGTTGGTGTCAGATTTGTTTTTTCTTTGATTGTTGTAATGATTTTAAAACTTATGATATGAATAGAGACAAGTTTATGATTAAAAAAATACTACTCCCTCCGTCCCATAATTTACTTCCAACTTTCCCTTTTCATCTGTCCCAAAAAGAACTTCCCTTTCCTTTTTTGGCAAAGAATTTGTGGTTCACAGCATTTCTCTCTCCTCTGCACAACTCTCCACCACGCAATTCACACTTTCTTAATCCGTGTGCCACTTTATTTCGGAAGTAAATTCTGGGACGGAGGTAGTATTATTATGACAATCACCTGTAATATAGTTACTTGTCACGTTCACACGCACAAATAAATATACTCCGTATTTACTTCAGACATTTGCCTAATGGCCTATGGCATTTGGCCATATGGCCACTAATACCAGGCATTTGCCTAGAGCCTCAAATATTAGGAGGCCTCAAAAAAATATTTATTATTAATATTTGGTAAATGAAAATGTATTGCAAGACTGTACCCATTCCACATAATTGGTAACTGTTTCTAAATTGCGGCTTCTTGGTTATACTTCTTATCAGGATGTTTTTACTTAAACTCTAATTCGTCCCAGATCAAACCAGATCAGACCAGACCAGATCAGACCAGACCAGTTCAGACCAGACCAGATCAGATCAGACTTAGATAGTTATAAAAATACAAAGAAACCAGATCAGATCAGAACAGACCAGACCAGACCAGATCAGACCAGACCAAACTAGACCACCAAATTACAGCCCAAGTAAAAACTTCCTTAATCCGTATGTCGGTAATGACCCATTTGGCCATTTATATAGAAACATTTAGCCACTCCGTATTATTATTATTATTTATTTTACTTCATTTCTGTTTGTCATCAATTAACTTTGTAATAGTAAAATTTTAATTTATATGCACTTTATTGTTAATAGAAAATGTTATTTTTTATAATTATTATTAATATGGTTTGCATTCTTTTTACGTGTTTTGTTAAGATCTTATTTTTGCATTTTACTTAATTGCCGTTTTTCATATTTGTTTGATTACTTAATTTTGTCACTAATCATGTATAATTAGACGTAGTATCTGACCGCGTAATATATATGAATATGTAGTTATTAATCTCGTTTGGTGACCTCATTTTTTCATCTTATTAGTCTTAGCAGCCAAGTTTTTTACTAAGCAAGAAACTTTTAATTTCACGTGTTGAGCTGTGTAATAATCAAAATAAGTAATGTTGGAGTTACTTTTATGACTGAATTAACAGAAGTTATTGTAGAAGATCATTTGGATCATTTGAGCTATTTTTCATATAATCCTTTCTTGATTTTGTAATAAAATATATTTTAATTTTTTTCATAGTTTAGCAAAATCAGCATATCTAGCTACTTTAGCCAAAACATCATAAATTTCAGAGAAAACTGTCAAATATGTACCTGTACTATAATGAAAAAGTCAATTAAATCCTCGTACTATCAAATCATCCAATCAAGCCCTTAAACTATAAAAAGACACTCAATTAGACCTTTTACTCGGTGAATAACCGGTTGCTATGTTAATTGGGTGCTTCTACCGTACCTCTTAAAATTAATAAGGTATGGTACCTCTACCTACTTGGACCGATAAGAGTGATACATATGGAATCTTTTAACACATGGATAAAACCGTTTTATTTAATCCAAAGACTGGTTAGTTTGCACTTTAGTCCCTATGATAAACATGTGTTTTGACGGAGAAGCGGAAGGAGAAACGGAAGGAAGTTTCTGGCAAATGTTCTCTGTACCAACTCACCAGGAAAGGAAGACTGCAAAATTCTATAGACTTCTGCTACTATAAAATTTTTGCCAGCGAATTCTATGGACTTCTACTACTGTAAAATTCATTAGCTTTTCTTCAAGGTATAGTGCCTCGCCTTGGTACTTCGGATAATAGAACCCACAGAAAACAGATGAATTTTCTATTGCAGATTTGTTAGCAAATGAACTGACTATTTATGTTGTCTTTATATTCATAAATCTACTAAATACATACAAGATTTGGCCGATTGATTACCTGTTTTCAGATAACCAGAAAAGCTAAATTTGGTGCTTTGAGATAAATGTCATCATCGGACATTCGGACACCGGCTGAAATTAGTCAGATTAGTCTTGAGGATAAAAATATGAATTTTCCTTTACGTACTGGGTTTAGGCAAAAGATACAATTATTGATATTGCTGTGAATTGCAAAACCGAAGGAAATTCATATAAAAGTTCAAAATGCCATGTCTAAAATATATATGTGATTGGTAGTATTGAAGGTGCATCTATAATCCATGGTGAATTCTGTAGACTTCTAATGTGAATTGAAACTCATTAGCTTCTCTCTGATTGTTACACGTCTCTTCAATTGGTATTCTGACACAAAGAAATTGGGTTTTTGGGAAAGATGGTTGAATACATGGAAAATATAGTAAATTCGTTCCTGCCACTCTATCACAGTATCACCTTCCTTCGTCTTTGTTTTCCTCTGTGAAACAAGGAATTGTTAGTTCACATCGTATATGTATAGTTCATCATTTATGCCGTATAGAAACCGATCGTCAGTATAAGGACCGCAAAGCAAATATTTATTAAAGTGGTAGTTCAATTGTGGCCCATGTCATTTTATTAATACTCGGTATATGTTTTAGTATATATACACGTGTCTTTGCCTTATTTGTCTGCACAAGCAAATGTAGCGTACCCTATAAATTATTACATGTACCATAGAATTTTCCATGTTAATTTGTACATGTGGTATCCACGTTGTTGGTTTTACATTTTGCTTTTTTTTTTTGCTTTATTTCATTTTCTCTCCCACCTGCTTTCTTCTTCTCGCCTAAGCTCCCCCAACCCCACCGTACTTTCTTCTTCTTCCCAAGCCCCCAATCCGTTCTGCTATTTTCTTCTCCCAGACCCCCAACCATACTTTCCTTTTTCTTTCTCTCCCTAACTTCTTCTTTCTTATTAGCTCCACCCCACCCGGCACTGGCGGTTGGTGACCACAGAAACGAATTTCGGATGAACTTGCGGATGTGACAAAGCATTTAAATGATCTGCGGAAGTAGATGGTACAAATTCTCCGGCGTCTTCGCGGCAACAACCCCTGTTTTTCAAGCGACTCCGTTGTAGTCCCAAATCTCCGCTCCAATTCGTCACTGGCCGGAATCAAGTACTATTTTCGACGAGCATCCACATGACCACATGTACAACTACCCGAGTCCATAACACTAAAAAATACTCCGTAAAATCCTAACCGTTAAGAGAGGCGTGAGAGAGGATTGAATTGTGTACACTCCTTCAAAGCTTTCATCGGAGAGTGGATGAGGTGGAGGAATGAACAGTGAAACGAAGGAGGAGGACTGTTTGCGTGTCATATCCTCTCCGGATAACAAAAAAAATAACGCATCTGGCTGTCCACGTCAGCTACTACCGGAAGAACCGGTAACTGACCTGCTAAGAAGATTAATTGGATGCTTTTGTATAGTTTAAGGGCTTGATCGGGTGATTTTATTGTAGGAGGACTTAATTGACTTTTACGCTATAGTACGAGGACCTATTTGATAGTTTTCCCTAAATTTCACTAGAATCAACTAACTCTATCAATGAGTGTTATCAAACGCCGCATTGTTATGTGATGAGAAAATAAATTTTTTATTCAGGATATAAGCCTTTTCCGCCTAGCGCCTTTAAAATGCTAAAGTCGGTCCTGATTTACTTCTATATACACATATTTTTATATGGTATAGTTCAATAAATAAATTAAATTGTAAATACATGTGTAATGTATGTATGAATTTATCACCTAAAAGGTTTTAAACGGGTCTAGTCCTTAACAGGTCGGAGCATCATGTTTTTTTACCTACACAGAATTTGAACACCCAGAAAAGAATGTTCAGAAAAAAGAATCAACGATCCCATCTTATGAAAACAAGATCTCAATCACGAATAGGACTTTGAAGATTTGATCGAGGGCTCTGGATTATCTAGATAGGGATTGTCTTTGGGTTGGGTGTTTTATTATTTGTTTCTTCTCATTATTATCTTTTCTTTTTTGTTTTCTTTCCTTTCATGTACTCTTGCCTGCTTTATTTAATAAAATTTCTTTTTATGCAAAAAACATCATGTATCATACCCAGCCCTTGTATCAAAATTAACAACGGGTCTCGTGGGTATGGGTCTGGATAAACGCAATTAGACGCGGACTCATATCCATTAAAAAAAGATTCGGATCGGGTTTGGGTCTACACCCAACCCATTGAAGCCCTACTTAAAAGCATGTCTTGTAAAAAATAATCATATTCGCTGATAAAATAGTCTTTTTAGTTTGAGGCCTTTATTGTTTGAGTATCACAAACATTTCCTTAGGTTGAATGCTCTGGAGGGTGTGGGGAAGGAGAAAAAATATTTACTCCATAATAAATTAAAAAATGGTTTTGTAATTTAGTATGAAGTTTAACGGTAAAATTTAGTCTAGTTTTGTCTCATCTAAACCAGCCCGGTTTGATGTAGTCCGATAAAAGTCTATTTTATACTCCCTCCGTCCTTGAATATACTTCCAACTTTTCCTTTTTGTCCGTCCAAAAAAGAGCTTCTCTTTCCATTTTTGGCTAAGAATTTGTGGTTCACAACATTTCTCTTTTCTCTGCACAACTCTACACCACACAATTCTCACTTTCTTAATTCGTGTGCCACTTTATTTTGGAAGTAAATTATGGGATGGAGGTAGTATGTAATTTACTACTATTTTACTTATAGTCTGGTCTAGTCCGATTACATATGCTATGGTTTGAAATAAAGTAATTGCCCCATATAGGACTAAAACAAAGGTGAAATGCAAAAATAAGACTTGATATGTTTTCTTCCCTTAATAGGACCAATTTACTCCTACCATTAAAAACATGAAAATTAGCATCCCCGATTTGCCCTTGAACCCATTTACACATTATCTCTCCCCTTTCCCACTCATAGACCGATGATTACTTCTCCACACCCCAAAGATATAACCGTGTCTCATCTTCTCCCCATCCCATCTTCTTCCTGCATTGCACCCACCGCTTACTCTCCCGCCTCAGGCCGCTGTCATCACTACCGACTTCGCCATGCGCCGTCACAGGTTTCCTCTTCTTTTTCTTCCTCTCTTCTTCTTCTCCTTCTCTTCTTCTTCTTCTTCGATCTCCTCCTCCTTCCCCTCCTCTTTCTCCTATTCCTCTATTTAAATGAGATTTGCCACTGATTTTTCTAGTTTTCCTCATATTCTTATGTTTTCCTCGGTTTTGACACTGATTTTGCCAATTTTAGGAATTTTGTTTTGTATTTTCTGACTTTTTGTTTCAGATTTCATAATTTTTTAGTTTTGACATTCGATTTGTGGATTTTTGGACTTCTACTTCAAATTTCTGTTTCATGATTTCTTGATTATAAAAGAAAACCAGTTTTCCAGATTTTTGGACTATGACATACGATTTTGCCAAGTTTATGGTATATTTTTGGATGATGATATACGATTTTGCCAAATTTATGACAGAAATGTATTCTGACAATCATATTATGGCAAAACACTTTTTGGATGATGATATACGATTTTGCCAAATTTATTGTTCTATTGTTTTTTTTGTTTTTTTTGAAAATTTAGTTGTGGACTTCATATTTTGCCAATGTTATGGCAGTTTTGTGTAAATCAGTGAAGATAAATATGCAAAATTTATGACAGATCTGAAAATTTGTTCTCAAGGGAGATTTGTAAGTACTCTTCAAGGTCGAATCTGCCAACTTAATGGCAAATTTACTGTGGTGGTGGTGCTCGGAGGTGAAGTGGTGGCCCTGGATTGAACACTGCCGACAATCACGAGGATAGGATGGTGGCGGCGGAGGCGGATGGCGACGCCGTTTGGGCGGCGACGGATGGCAACGATGTGCCGGCAGGGATGCGGCAGGGCCCAACCAGAACGGCGGTCGGCGGTCGGCGGTGGAGGCAGTTGGTAGCGGCGGCGGCAGTCAACGGCGTCGGCGAGGGTAGCGGCAGTCGGCGGCGACGGGCGGCTCCGACTCTGGCATTCTACTGCTAGCTTTTTTACAATTTAGGGTTTCAACAGTTTTTTATTTTTCAATTTCAAAATAAAATAAAAATAAAATAGGATTATTTTTGTCCAACTAAGTTGAAATTGGTCCTATGAAACTTGGGCTTCGTTTATAGTCCAATAACTTTGCCATTAGTCCTATTTTAGGCATTAACTCTTTGAAATATTTAAGTCTCATACAGTCCTATATCTAATTGAGATTGAAATTTGTCCAACAAAAAAAATACTAGTCTTTCTTTGTGTAATAAACGGATTGCTTTGTTTCTTTCCGACGAAGGTGCACATTAGTCGTCTGTTTTACACGGATTGCTTGTTGGAAGGATGAAAGATTGTATGCAGCGGAACCGGATGTCGTCGGCTCTTGGCGGCACCAATTTAGGGCTGGATTCAATTGATTGGTTGTCTCAACGTTGATTGGATTGCTCGGCTTCACCACAGGAGGGCTGTTCGGGGAGGGTGGCTGGCTTGTCAGATGCGGCTGGGCAGCGGAAAGGATGGTTGGACGACGAGGCAAGAGGACTCTGCTCCTAGTTGCTCATGAGTTGATCTCTTTTGGCGGATGGATGCTCCGGCTGGCTTTGTTTGAGGGAGGAGGTGTAGAGTTACTGGACCGGTTCAGACCTCAATCACCATAGTCCAAAGGCTACCTCACCATTCACCACCAAGGAGTCAACAAGGGAAGACCAGAGGGCATCTAGTCTCAAACACTCAGTTTAGTGCCCAACCCTCCCTAACCAGACTGCCCAGAGAAAACCCACCGAAGAGGAAACCCCCCACAAGACTACCAGTACAGAGTGAAGCCCACAGAAGGACCCCAAAGGTATCACCGGAGGGTAGCCGGAGCTCAAACCCTAGATGATACCAGCACTCTCTCACTCTAGAACTGGGGTAACCGGAAAGACCTCACATCGGATAGAGAGAGGAAGGAGACGATCAAATAGTGGATTCCAGAAGGAACGGACAATATAAGGTAAGGGCCAAAGTGACATGGGCTTGGGCAAAGACAAAGGAGGGAAGTGGGCTAAGTCAGGCGGACAGCCCAAACGGGCCAGGAGGATAAGATTAGCAGACAGGTCATTAAATGGGATGGACCAAGGGCCAGTGAGGTGGATGAATATCAACACAGGAGGTACGTTGTTTACCTTTCTGGGATTTGATGTATTCCTTTGTTGTTTTTGCAAGAGAATGTGTAGATAGAGCTGGTGCTGCAATGGGTTTTAAAAATGAATCTAGTCACAATGCAAAACAACAGGAGGAGAATGGCTGAACACGTACAAGCTCTACATAGTGGAGGAGGTGAAGCTAGCGGAATCCTTTAGCATGGTTCTTGACCCGCCGGTATTTCTCGTTGGTCTGGAGCGTAGAAGTTTCTGGTGTTTTTAGTGCTGTTATTTTTCTTGATAAGAGTGTTTATATTTTCGTTGTTTATTTTTAGATGGCAGGCTTGCTTTGATCATCTTTGATGCATTTATGTCAATTACATGATCACCGAGTCATATTGTTTCTTTCAAAGTGATTGACTCTAAGTCTGGTTCGAGGACTGAAAGTTGGTTGTGGTCCTTTTATCTATTTACTCCCTATCCGAATGATATGATATCAATTTAAGCCAACTCTCTCCAAAAATAATAAAATAAGAATAGGGAGAACTATCCAATAAGGCCTCGAACTTTCATAAAAAGTGCAAATAAGCCCTTTAATAGGAGGCTTGTCCAGCCGTCGTCATTTGGGGCGGTTTCCGGTGGAATGTTTTGATGAAATTTTTGTAGTATCTTCTTCATTAAGTTTAGTTTATTCATACCAAATTTCAGCAAAAAATTCAATCGAGAAGGCAGTCAAATGAATTTTGGAAAATAAGTGCGCAGTTAGACAGCGCAATATATTTCAGAAAATCATTTAACTCCCTTCTCGATTGCATTTTTAGCTGAAACATCTTTATTATTATTCTGGACATCTTTATGCTTGTTCTCCTAAATACATATGGGTGACTCCAGTGAAACTTGGGTGGAAGGCTGAAGACAGCATCATCTGTGATTGCTTTACATTCAATCGTGTCGAAAAATACATGGACTAACGATTAACGTTACTTCGATCACAATAAAGAAACGCATACAATTTAGTGACCCATTTTGTTTTACTCCATATTCTAAAACCAAAAAATATTGAATCTTTGTCTTCCAATGATGGAAAATAAAATTTATTTACAAAGATGCAATTAAATTTATTATGAATGATGAATTGATGACTGGTGAATATAGTGTCAAACCATTTGTTTAATTAATTATCAACCTTCTATAAAAAAACGTAAAAAATAAGTATGTGGCGTGTAACACCGTGTACGGCATTCTTATTCTTATTCCTATGAATTAAAAAAATACTACTAATTCTTTTCTTCGACCAAGATAATCAATTATATATATATATATATATATATATATATATATATATATATAATGTGAGCTTGCCGAAGATGATGACCATATATATAGCAATTAAAATGAATGAATAAAGCCAATTAATCATATATATCTGATTAATCATATTTATATATCTGCTGAGATTTTATTGGTGGAGCGCCGCCGAACCGATTGAATTCCGACA